TTGAATACGGAGAATATTTTGGTGATATTTATCTACGCGAGTGAATTCGCAGGAATTTTAAAACTAGCCTTTGCTTTAAAATAAACGGAATATAAAAAATACATAACAATTCTAATAAACTATTAAAATGAAAGATTAAATTCTGGGAAACGGTAGGTACGTGATCTTTGTAAAATATGCGTATTTTGTGCAAAATTAAAATAAATGCAAGCTTGCGATATTTTTGATTCACTGCAATGGTGAGAAAACTCTGGCTCATGAAAATCTTATAATGGAATTGGAAAAATTCTGAAGAAAACTTTTCGCAGTTTTCGTTAAATTTATAATATAATTTCTAGAAGAAAATCATTTCTTGTAAACACACCGAATACTATTATTAATTGTACTTAAATTAAATACAGTAATTAAAAAAACATTTTTTGCTTGCAATCGTAAGTAAGGGTTAAAATTCATGTGTGAATTAGAAAGTTATTTAGTAGGTTTTAATCTGGGCTTTGAGCATTTAAATTTTAATCAAATCTACACAAGATTTTTGAAGTGAAAACTTCTATAGGCAGGTTTGGATGGGGAGTAAATTCATGTAAGTCGTCATCGACATGGTCACGTGACGTGTTAAGGCTAACACTCACGAGTGCCGATAGATGTCAAAACCAGATAAATGTAAACAGTTTTAATTTACAAATTTTAATTTAAGATCGAACAATTTATTAGAATATCCAGAAATAACAACTGTTTGTTTATAGCTTTCAGTTTTCACTTCTATCCGCAGTCGTCACGACTGCTTCTTTTTATAAATAAATGTAATGATGATAAAGGTGCTAGTCATCACCGTCCAAGGACAAACCCACTGATTTTAGCGAGCTGAAAGTTAGAGAATACATGTCACGCTTTTACGGTACCTAAATCATATTTTTTAGAATTTTACTCGTAAAAATCTAACGGCGTAGAGTATCTATCTATTTAGTCCGTAAACACAAAAACTTATATGTCGAAAATAAAGACTCGTACAGCCTTTAGAAACTCGCGGTATCAAAATTTTCGCTATAATAGATACATCTTATCAAATTGTAATTGTTAGTAGCTTACGTTATCTGTAACCAAATCACACTATTCAAAACCATGGTTAACATGTGGCACGCAAATTATAAACTATAACCATACTTACAGACAGACGGAGACATGGGTTGTTTTTTTTTTTTTTTTTTTTTTTATTCTCATTTAAAGAGCTGAGTCACTTGGGCGACTATGTTGCTCTGGTAGGTTACACAAATATTCTTATCTATACATTAGTTATAATATTATTTAGTTTCGCTTACTTATGTTATGTTTACCTATATTATACATAATTTTGGCTGACTCTGAAGTAGGATTTGCTAGATATATATTACATATTCCAATTGATCTATCTGCTAATTGTGATAAAAGGGGTTCGCTTCGAGCACATTCCATTAAAATATGGTACACATCCTCTATAACTCCGCAATCGGGACAATTAGGAGAAAGAACTTTCTTCATTAAATACCCAAACTTATTTAATGGAATGTGTCCGGAGCGCAGTCTCAAAGCCATCACAATATCTTCACGTTTGAAATTACACATATCTACCCAAGAATAGTAACAAGGTTGTGGTTGAATCGTTTTGTACCATATGCCTTTTTCTTTAGACCTCAAGTCAAAATACTCTTTCCAAGCATCTAAACATTTTTCTTTTATCAAATAAAGACAGTCTGTATAGAAAGGTAACATATGAATTATATCTCCATCAGTGCAGGCCTGTCTGGCAAACTGATCGACCTTCTCGTTCCCAATAATTCCAATATGAGAAGGAATCCACTGCAAAACAACTGATTTTTTCAAGGACTTCATTTTAAGAATCAATTCAATGATAGTATTGGCTATCGGTGTTCCTCGAAAAGTCGAGGTGCAACGAGCCAAGTGTTGTAATGAACTTTTTGAATCAGTAAGAATAATAAATTTATTAAAATTAATTGTCTCAATATAAGATAATACTTCAGCCAGAGCAATAAGTTCTGCGTACATTATTGAAATTTTGTAATTATTTTTAAATCTTATATTAGTTTCTGTTTGGGGATCATAAAAAGCAATTCCCGTTTCATTGTTATCCAAAGATGCATCAGTAAATAATTTATAATAGTTAGGATATTGTGAATTTAAATAATTTAAACATTTTATTTTAATATCAAGAGAATTATACGAGCGTTTTGCTTTCTTAATGTGAGGTATATCTATCTTAATATGTGGGTCCAAGTCGATTTTTGAAGTCCAAACATTTAAATTAAACATTTCTAGTTGTTTGCTTCTATGAACTGATATATTTTGAATTTCATTAAATAACATAATTAATAAAGGCTTTTTCTTTCTGTTCCAATATGAATTTTCAAATTGAGATGCATATTCACTAAGTAGAGAAATAATACTGTTGTTTTCTAAAGATTTTGCTTTTAACAAATATTTTCCGCCTAAGTAGCGTCTACGAATAGCTAAAGGCGGTAAACTTAATTCACTCTCCATCACATGTATAGGAGTTGTTCTTATAAACCCACCGATAACTCTCATACATTGGTTTTGAATTTGATCTAATTTAGACAAATGTGAGCGCGGGCCGTCATCGAACAAAAAACTCGCGTATTCAATTCTACTTCTTAGTATAGAAATGTATAACTTTTTTAAATACTTTGGATGGATACCCCAGCCAGAACCAGCTAAAACTTTAAATAAATTTAAAAACTTCGAAACTTTATCTCTTACACTACTTACATGAGTTCCCCATTTTAATTTTCGATTCAACCACAACCCTAGATATTTTACATTTTCTACTATTTCTAAAGAAACACTGTCTATTCGAAGGTTAATAGATTTACTAATGTGAGCTCTGTTAAATATGCATATTTTACTTTTGAAAGGGGAAATACTTAAACCTAATTCATCAAGCAATGCGCTGAAAATGTTCAAAGCTGATTGTAAATCATTGGTAGCGATATTCAAGTTCTTATTTGAAGTATACAAAACAAAATCGTCTGCATATTGTGAGATAAAAACATTTTTAATAGACTGGCATATGTGAGCTGTCGCAATATTAAATAGTAATGGCGATAAAGGATCTCCTTGAGCTAAGCCCTGGCTACAACATCTAGTTAACGATAACGTATCTAAATGAATATTTAGAGATCTATGATTAAGAAAATTCCATAAATAATTGCATATTTTTGATCCCACCCCATAATTGTCCATCAAAGTTAAAAGTTTAGATATATCTATGTTATTATATGCTCCATCAATGTCAATGAAACAACAAGAGGTAGAATTGCCTAGTCCAAATCCTTTTTGTATACATAAAACTAGTTTGCATAAGTTATCTAAACAAGAATGAGCTTTCCTGAAACCCGTAGTATCTACAGAGAAGGTATTTGATCTTTCAAAATACCATTCAAGTCTTTTGTTTAGGATTGAATGAAAAACTTTACATATACAGGACATTAAAGATATAGGTCTTAAAGATGATACTGAGTGTGGATCACGTCCAGGTTTCGGTAAAGGAATAATAGCTATCTCTCGCCACTGCTTTGGAACTATTCCATCTTTGAGAAATATGTTAAAAAGATTCAAAAGCCAATCTTTACCACTTTCAGGTAAGTTTTTGATCATTGAAAATGAAATCATATCTACTCCCGGAGCCGTATCTTTTGATTTGATAGAAACTTCTAATTCCTTTCTAGAAATTGATGTTTCTAAATAGTAGTTACTCGATCTAAATGTAGGACAATTATTAACAACAAAATCAGGGGCAAGACTTTGAAGGAGGTCCCTTGCACTATCACTACTAATAAAAGATTTTTTAGAATATCTCCCTTTTATCCATTTCATTCGAAACCACATTTCGTTTATTGAAGACACTTCACATAAACCATTACAAAAATTTTGCCATGATTTTGATTTCGACTGACGTAATATTCTTTGAGCTTCACCTACTTTATTTTGTAAAATATCAAGGTTATTTGGCGTTGGGTTATCTCTAAATACAACAAGTGCTAGACGTCGTTCAGCTATAGACTTCGAAACAATCATATTCCAAAATGGTTTAGGTTTAAAGACATTACTAGGGTTTAGGATAAATTTAATAAAAGGGATATACTTGTCTGCTGCACGGTTCATACAATCAAGCAACATATCGTACCCTAATTGCGCGTTTACGGGAAAACCGAGATCATTCAGTGACGAATTGATTTCGGAACGATATGGCTCCCACTTACCTAATTTAAAGTTCCGCTTTTTTATAAAGTGATTAGGAGGTACGCTGTAATTTAGAGTTAACTTAATTATTAGATGATCACTTCCTAGGGACTCGTTTGTTACAAACCATTCACAATTTAAGGCAATGTCCGATGATACTAAGGATAAATCCGGAGAGGATTTTTGCAAATTATTATTTACAAATTTAACACGGGTTGGTAAACTACTATTATTGAGGATTACGTAGCGGCTATCTACAAGTGAATCAAAAATCTGAATTCCTCTTATCTGTTCTATTTGACCAGCTATGATGATGGCCATTAAAATCACCTAATATTATAGATCTTTGCGTGATTATTGAAAAAATTTCATCCCAATGACTTTGCGAGGTTCGTGCGGATGGAGGGCAATATAAAGCATAAATACTTTCAAGATTATTACAATTATGAATTTTGACACGTAAAAGTTCAATATCTGAATTACCTATATTAAGTTGGCAAACCTCCGTTCTAACAGAATGATGAGAAATAATAGCGACACCTCCATATCCATCAGATCTATCATAGCGATAAATGTTATAACCAGAGATTCTTATATCATCTCTCTCATTCAACCACGTTTCACTAATCACTGCAATGTGAATTTTATCCCGATTTAATAGTAGCTCAAAGTCACTTAATTTAGGTTTAAAACTTTGTGCATTCCACTGCAAAATATTAAGTTTAATATAGCTTCCAAATGGTAAATTATCCATCTACAGATTCAAATATATTTTTGAATATTGGTAACTCTAAGACTTTGGTCTTACATAAAGAAATCAGCCACTCCCATATAATTGCTAAAGCTTCTGTAATTTTCTCCTTCAGAGATATTCTACGTATAAATATAATGTTTTTCAATTTTTCTAAAAGTTGTTTAAATGATATATGGTCGCTATTATTTTTTTGTTCTTCCTTTGAATAATTTGATGTCACCTCAATATTTACTTCCGAATCCGATGATATATCCCAATCCATTGTGTTTCGTGATTGACTATTTTTTTTTTTGAAATATTTTTCTTTTTACATTTTGTTCTTTTATTTTTATTTTCGACACTATTTATCTTCTTAGCGGACTTTACTACTTCTGAATAGCTTTGTGGTTGATTCATGACTGTAGCAGGCTCCGGGTTTGAACTAAGTGCAGGAAAATCTACATTTATGTCCAGATTATTTTCTTTTTCTGGTTGAGGAGATGGGGGCACATACATCATAGTTGCTCTTCTAAAAGTACAATTAAACTCTGCCATTAACTGTCTGATTCTTTTTTCCTTAAGGAATACTGGACATGTTCGTACTAGCGACATGTGTTGCCCACCACAATTAATACATTTAAACTGGTTTGTTTCACAATTATTATGATTCTTTGTGCACTTGGGGCATATAATACTTTTTGAAGGACAAAATTTATGAGTGTGGCCAAATCTCCAACATTTGGAGCATTGCGTCACAGGGAATATGTATGGTTCGACCTTTACCTTTAAGCCATATATGAAAATATGTGGTGGTAAGGAGGAACCTTTAAAACAAAGGCGAATCGTTTCACTTTCAGTCCAACCAGGGATTTCATCATTTCTACGAAATAATCTTTTAACTGATATTATCTCTAAATCCGACGAAATGCTCAATTGTACATCCTTTTCAGACAGATCTAACTCAATATCTCTGATAATGCCATAGGAAAATCCGACTTCACTTGTTTTGTAGCATTTCCAGCCTTTTTCCTGCAACGCTGTAGAAGTAATCATTTTTTCTGCATCGCTTTCTTCTTCAAATAAAACAAAAATTTTATAAGGTGTTGCATATTTAACTCTTATTATATTTAATATATTGTGTTCTTTCAAAAACCTCGCCAATTCTATCTGCTTAGGAATTTTTTCTTTACTTGTAATACAGACTTCTATTTTATCATCTATTTCTTCTAAACTTTTTTCTGATAAATTTCTACGATACTTTCTTTTGCTATTTCTAGACACTAAAGTCCACATCTCCGTGTCATCCTCATCTCGATATCTTTTTTTTGTATATAGGTTTGTATTTTCTTCAGTCTCCTCCACTCGATATAATTCTTCATTTTCATTATATTGTTCTACTTCGCTCCTATTCTCCATGCTATTTAGCACGGGCGACGTGCTATTTGCGATATTATTCATAATAATTATAAAACATAATATTGTTTACGTAAACTGTCCACTAGAATGCCCGTTAGTGCAAAATGCACACGGCTAGCGGGCAAACCGGTTTCTTATCTCAACGCGTAGCAGTATAATTATTACTTGCAAAAAACACGACCGTGCCGCATAGGGTCTTCCACGCAACCGGGTTGTTTTTTAATATATAAAAATTTCTTACACTCTTTTAGATAAATTTTCTAAAGAAGTTCAAGTAAAATCTGTCTTCAGTACATTTTGTAATCAAACGTAATGGAGCAAAAATAGGAATTCGTCCAAACTAAAAGGCGCAACGGCCTTCGGGATCAAACGAATCTAAAACATCTTAACATTAACAAATACTCACTCTTAGAAAATTCTAACGTTTCATTGCAGCCTTTGACATTTTTGGGTTAAACCTAATCCAAATAATAGATCAATTTTACTGAAAGCAGTGAAAATGATCGTAAACGGCAAAAATATTAATATGTCATTCTTGAAATATCAACTTTTAGGTTATCTTTAGGAAATCCGGAAAAGTATTGCCTTTTTCGAAAACTTCATCATTTCGTCTTGTCTGTCCGTCTGTCTGTTATATACACCAAAGCTATTTTTCTGGCGACTATAGGAGTTACAGCTTCATCTAAACCGTCAAACAATTTTGCAGGCAAATGGCAAAAAATACTATGGCACTCGTGTAATGAGGGGCATAAAAAATGTTGACTCTACATGTCTCTAAATAGGCCTTTAGAATTGTGATAGATTTCTTTAAGTGACTGATTTGTGATAATAGACCTTCTATAATACTTTCAACGAAAATCACTTTGAAGAAGACGGTTTGAGTAATTTTCAAGAGAATTTCGGTGCCACGCCTTCAGCTGGAAAAATAATAAGAAAAGCCAAATTATTTTTGCAGTTAATGAAATGAATGTTTTAGATTGGTAAATAATTTGATTTACTTTTAACGTAACGAACTACGCATGTTAAAACATATCTAAATTTAGTGTTCCATGCTACGGAACCCTTGGTGCGAGTTAGACACGCACTTGTCCAATTTTTCAGGTTTATAAACGAAATAATATTACTTATAATATTTTCTTTCCAAGAAAATAGATAGAGTAGAATTCCAAGTAATTTAGAAGTAGTTGTATCACACAAGCCTTCAAGTTTAAAGTTTTACGAGTAAATTAAGTTAATGTCTTTGTTAGTATTTTTTTTATTTTGTGTATCTTCTTAGTTATCTTCATTTACACTACCATTAAATTCATAAGTTTTTTTCCACGCCCAAACGGCGGGACAGATTTCGATAACATTTACTACATAGATAGACTATGGCCTTGATTGACACTTAAACGGATAATACATTTTACCTAAAGTTAACGCTGCCTGTACGCTCCATACACTTAATATTATAAATGTGAAAGTGTGTTTATTTGTTTGTTTGTTTTATGTTTGTTTGTTTGTCCTTTCACGTCGAAACAGAGTGACGGATTGGCGTGATTTTTTGTGTGGAGATAGTTGGAGAGCTGGAGAGTGACATAGGCTACTTTTTATCATGGGAGATTTTCTAATTCCCAGAGGAAAACACGTTATAACACAACCCAAAAAATATTTATGATCAGAATTACTTGAAACTTGGTACTTATCCCCTAAGGAGGTAAAATAGGGTATGAAAGTTTATATGAAACCTACCTTTTTAGAGTTTTTTTATAGTTTTAGCGCGAGCGAAGCCGCGGGTTCTGCTAGTTATAAATATATATGACATCAAGGCACGTAACCAAGCGATAAGTTGCTAGCCGTACTTATAAATGAGACAGTATGTTTATTGTTAGGTCTACAAAATTTATTATCGCCTCTTCTCTCCTTTTCCATTACATTTCTAATTCCAATACCAATTATACTGTGTTCGATGAGTAGAAGACAAACACTAGTTTATAAATAAAACAATGAAACAGAAACAAAATAGTCATGTAACCAAATATCTTAGTAACAAAAAAGTACTTTGCAGAGTAAAGATATCATTTCGGTTATTCGCTCCAGAGTATCACGTAGTCGATACTTAATCACGTCGTGACAGAATACACGCATTGTCCATCTATCTGATATAGCTGAATTTTTATTTAAAAAATATCACGATGTATAGATATGATTTTTACATTTACTTGTTTCGAGTTTGTATTTTTTTAACTTTAATATTTTTACATAAGATATTGTACATAGAAAATATGGTGAGTTAATTTTACTTATAAAAATTATTCAACAAAATATGCTGTTTTAAAGGAGTACTATCTCATAAACGGAGATAAATGGTTGTCATGGATTCTTCATATTCCAGAATCAAATAATATTCTATACATTCGATATCACTAATAATGACTATTTCAATAAGATTTTCCAAAAAATATTTAATTTACAGATTCGACTCTATTAGAATTTTATTATTAGTATGTATTATAATGTATTATAATAAAATTCTAACATTAAATATTTTTTGGAAAATCTTATTGAAATAGTCATTATTATCGATACATAAGCCGAATCTATAGTTTTTAGAATTTTTGTCTGTCAGTCTGTGAACGCTTCACGAGAAAAACATTGGACAGATTTTGATGAAATTTAGTATGATGATAGCTGGTCATCCGGGTTAACATATATGATACTTTTAAAGTCTTATCTCATCTCAGAGAAATGTATACTGATCATTAAAATGTACATAGGGACAAGTCCGAGCAGAGCGAGGGTGAGTAACTATAATAATATTTTATTATTTCCTTTTTTATTGCAAAATTAACTATTTTCAAATCCGGAGAGGGAATTCGGAGAGAAACCGGAACTGAGAAACGGGTACTTTAAGTTACAAATTCTACCCAAGCTAAAGAAAAAATGTTATAAGTGTGCCACAGCAACGTGTGGCTGGGTTTGCTAGTAAATTATAAAGTGCAAATTCAGTTTATTATATTTAGTAATTTTTTAACTTTGAGCACTAGGAAATTTTTAGACTTATAGATTTACTAGTTTCTTTTTAATTACACTTTTACAGTTATAATTACAAGGATATTTAAGTTATAATTCGACTAGAAAGAGAGTTTCTTTCCCCATATAAAGAAGCATAAATTATACTAACACTACATTGCATTGTCTACTTATCTCCAATTGTTCTATTCATTCGATGTTCCTCATAATATGATGTATAATAGTATATTTCAAATCTAGGTCATCTCTCACCATACGTTATGCTCCCCTAGGTATTATAATAGATGGCTTATAACTTATTCCATTTCCATTATTCTAGTAATTTCATCGTGACATTTTTTCATAAAACTTAAATTGTTAGCCGAATTACTAGTTACTTTTATTAAGTGAAGTTTTATTAAAATCTATCAAGATATTTTACGTAAAGAATTCAAATTACCTTAGTTTTAACGAGTTCATTTATTACGTTGTTTTTATAAAATGGTTACGAGATACGGTCGATAAAAAAATTAGTAGGTACTACTATCTACTAAATGGTTTTTCAAAGTCAATATTTGCATATTTTATATTCCCAGTCATTAACGTGTTTTATAAAAATGTTATAAATTATAAAAAATTATTATAAAAATATATAACATTTTCGTCAAACATTTGCTCTATTGCGAGTATGACATATATGGTATGACATATATGACTGTATGACATTATTGTCATCCTGACTTCGGCCATGACGGCAATCTCACTGAAACCAGCCATCTACGTTTATAGTGCACAAATGTATGCGCAAACACAAGTGCACTCAAAGTCCGATAAGACGATACCTCGACACGACCGGTAAGAGTTAAGGCACAAGACCGATTGACGGCTTTACGCGCTCTCCGAGGCACGGGAGTGTAACACCGCCAACTTCCCAACTCCGGGTTACTACGAAGTATATCTTAATAGAAAAACTCAGTAATTAAACTTGGCCCGACCTGGGGGACTCAAACCCAGGACCTCCGGATCTACAGCCATACATGCTAGCTACTAAACCACGGAGGCAGAGGCAAAAAATATATTTTAATACTAACAGAAGAAAACACGAGCTATCAATAACTAAGACCTTAAACCGAGCCAGTTATTTCAGTCGATTTAAGATTTAACTTTTTTGCGGTCCCTCTAAATAGGGTACGACTGACGCAGCTAATTTTCTGGCACAAATAAAAGGGAAACCGACCAAGCTCGGGAACTATATAACATGTAATTTGTTTGTTCCGAACACTGAGTTGAATGATTTTCAATGTGACATAGTCCTTTTAGGTTATTTACTATATTGGTATAATTTATTTTACGAGCGTACACCAGAGATTGTTTTCCTGTGCCTTTTTTGGGTTTTGGTTATATTTTTACTTGTTTAAAAAAAAATTAAACCATATATAACCCCATATTCAAATTTGAGATAATTCAAGCTAGATGATTCCTCATAGTATTTTTGGAACTATGAGAGCAGTTGTACAGCAAATCATCAACTGATGATGCTCAGGTCTTCTTGAGTAGGATGCTGGCATGTTTAGTATAGGATGCCAGCTTCTCGGCTATATCCCAACTGAATAGGTATATTAGGTTCTGCCGACTTTAATCTTGTATGCATTTATTGTTTAACTCTTAACTGCTTTATATTATACTCGCTTCATATGGAACTAGAGTTGGGACTAGAAGTTATAGTTAGTTTTATAACTTTTCAAAGATGCTTTTATCTATAAACTGTTTATATAAAAGAAATTTCATAGAAATTTATTAGTTGCCTTCGATATGGACGATAAAATATTTGGCTTTTGATATATACCAAACATCCCTCAAATAAGTATAATTAAAGGATATGTAGGAGTCTACAACAATTTTATTATTTGTATTGGTAAAGTTAAAAGGAAATCCGTTTTCTTTTTTGATCGACCTCAAAAAGGTAGAAATACGCAATTCCATAGTATGTTTTTATGCCACTATACAATATCTTCGCTAGTTGTTAATTGCTTTTCTTAATTCTTTTTTTT